TGAGTTACATAGTTACACTTCCTTTCTATAATTCACCGAATGTCTATTGGATTTTAACTGAATAATTTCTTAAGATAGATTTCTCGCGAGGTCTCAGGAAAACTATATTACTGAACATTCCGTGGGATGTAACATACTAGTAAGTGTTACTTTCAGTTTTAAAATACAAGAGAAACTTGTTCTTGTTGTAATTTAGTAACAATAAGTGCCCTATAACTTATGAGCTGAATATATTTCATGGGTTTCTAATTCGCAGAAAGAAATTGTAACTTAACATTTAAACGACAGCATACTATTTCCCGTAGCTTTACTTCAAGACCGGTGATTTTCTCGTTTGAAAATGAAAAACAAATGTAGGCAATTAAAAATTGACATCTTTAGTGAACTTACTAAAATAAGTCTAGTCGTTCCGCAGGGTATGGTATTTTTGAAAGCAACTTTCTTTATGCAGAAACACGAGAAGTCTCGTGAGCGGTCTTTTAACCCTTTCGTTACTATTGGCGCCTGTAGGCGCTTTGAAAATTTACTCACACTGTACAGTTCGCGCCTTTGGCGTGCTTCTAGTCTAATTTAATCCTTAATTCTATATTTCAAGTATTTCCACCTTAATTTAACGAAACGAATTTCAAAACGATACAGCCAAAATAAGCAATTTTGCAGCCGTGGTTAAAAATATATCGTCAGTCATCCTCGTTACGCGTTAAAATCTGCCGTAGCGAAAGGGTTAATTGTTAAATGCTGATTATTTGAATTGATTTAAACAGAGACTGTAAAGTAAGTAAGTAAAGAAGAAAGTAAAATGAGTAGGTAAAGTATGTAGGTAAAGTATGTAAGCAGACTAAGTAAGTAAAGTAAGTAGGTAAAGTAAGTAAAGTAATTTAATAAAATTAAAACTGAAAAATGAATGTAAAACTTGTTTCAGAAATTCGCGTTTATATAAATGTTAGGTATTCTACTGTTACGTTGGTAAACAATTATTGAGACTGATTATGGTAACTCAGTTAGCTCCGTCACTGGATATATGGACTCCAGGTTCAACGTAAACGTAATCGATCAGAATTTGTCACTTCTGACGACAAGCAGGACGAGGTAGCATCGCCTGAATCTTTTCAGAGGTTCGCAACAGAGGATATTAAGATCCTTTCGAGATGATCGATATGAGAAGGTTGCTAAGCAGCTTACCTGAAAACCCTCCTCAACGGGGATAAGAAAGGTGTAACGTCCGTCCGCCTTGAAGATTTCTTCCTTCTTTTCCTTCACAATCCGCTGTCGGAAGATGCTGCAAGAAAATTGGATTCGTTAACCGAACAAAGTTTTAATATTATGTATTTCGCTGGATTATATTTGCTCAGGCAGAAAGTAGGTAAGCAAAAACGCGACACTTTGAAAGTTGACGTATGTGTATGAGATAAAAAAATACATTAAATGACTTAATTAATTTTCAAAAGGCACAAGATCACGAAATTGTGTTTGTGCAGAAACAACGAAAAACACTTTTTCACCAAAACTATGAAATATCGTGTAATTTTTTTATTATAGTTATTTTAAGAAAGTGATTTTATGCATATTTAAAGGTTTATTCAAGTTAATTCACAGATAAATAAAAGGAAGAGGGCTAAAATAAGATGTGGTCATATGTCCTTTTAATAATAAACCTGTGTCTTGCTAAAAAAAAATTCTATATCTACACTTACAATTAGATCTACTAAGTAAAGGCACTGTAAAAGATAAAAAATGTTAGTAATCATAGTAATAAGCAATTTGTTACATAAAAACAAGGATTAATTAAAATAAGATTAATTACTACAAGATACAATGCTGAAAAAACACTTTACTATATTTTATTTTATCATTTCTGTCATCATTAGCTGTAACTGACCAATGTGGGATTATGTTATAAAATTTAACATGTTCATCTGGGATATACTATATTATTTTTCGAATGTCTTCATTTTTTTTTTAAATTAATCGGATTTCTTGCTTCGTTAAAAACGAAGGAATTGGAAGTGCTAGTGAACTGTATGAAGGGAGGTCTTGTTTTCTGTGAGGACAACACATATCTGTCAAAATCAGTATTTGCCATAAAGCAGAACATGTACTCTTTCAATAATAAACGACTTAATTTTGTTCTGCATTAAAGTAAGATTCTATGTAATGTACTTTCTGTATGGAACTACTAACTTTACATTAAATGTTATTATACTACATCATTACACTAAAAATTACAAAATTATTACACAGTTTACAAATAACTATTTACACAATTTTTCGAAAATATCATGAAAGTACAATACCAAGTCATCCCATAAGTTCGTATCGAAAATGAAAATAATTTTAATGAAAATCCAAGGAACTTCTACAGTGGCGACGTAATAGTCTTGCTAAAAGAAAAAAAAGAATAGAAAAAAGTTGTGGAACGAGAAAACGCTTACTGAATTGTAAAATTTGGCACGAACTTCTGGGATGACCAAATTACAGTAAATTCTCTACAAGTGTCAGTCAGTTTGGATTCTACAAGTGTCAGTATAGATGGTCCTACGCCTATGTTATCTCGTTCGCTGTCAGTCAAGCGTGTAACGCTACACCAATCGGTTTCTTTTACCAGATTTCACGGTTCGACAATTCATAATAGAAAAATATCATTTCTTTAATTTTACTTTTTTTCATCTGAAATTTTTTTTAACATGTTGGTGAGATTTTTCTGATGAAAATGAGATCAAACACGATATAATTTGAACAACATTTACTTATTAACACGTTCACTGTCCCACGGGAAAAAAAATGTAGGGCCGATTCTACAAGTGTCAGTCAAATGTAGGGCCGATTCGACAAGTGTCAGTCAAATGTAGGGCCGACTCTATGTAATTTAATACAGGGTGTCTGTTTTATCTCAATGCAGTGAAATATCTGGCTTGACAGTGAACGTGTTAATAAGTAAATGTTGTTCAAATTATGTCGTGTTTGAAGAAAAATTTCGGGATAAAAAGACGTAAAATTAAAAAAGTTGGTATTTAAATCGCTTGGTTGCCTCGACTCACGTTTCATCCTTATCTTTTATTCGCTGTCCTTGTCTACGTTCGGCAAACTACAAAGGCGGGCGCGAGGCTCGAAAACGTAGTCCCTGACTCTACGAGTGTCAGGTTTAGATTCCTTGCGGACTGACACTTGTGGAGAATTTACTGTATTTGCACTTGTCAAATCAAATTGAGCATCATAATTCAAAGGCTTTCGCAGCAAGTATGATAGAAAAAACAGAAAGAAGCTAAAAGACGACAATTCACGGGCCAGAGATGATGAATTCTTGCAAAATGATTTAACAAATGATCATCGCGAGGGTATATAGAAAACGTTACCGACACATGGGAGGTATAAGTAAAAACGTTGTTCGTCGCGAACGGGAAATGAAATGCAGCGAAGCTCAAAGAAGTTTCGGAAGGGTGAAGCTAATTCACTCAAGTTTTACTTACTCAGATGGCAAGCTCCACGGCACCGTGCATTTAAATATCGATAAAGCTTGACAAAGTGAGCATCGAAGTTACTTAAGAAACAACTACGAAAGTTGGTTCCATCTTCATCTTCCGGTGAACGTGGACGGACTTTTTGAACGTGCTTTACTTAGCAGTGAGGCGAAAAAAAACTACTCTTGATAAGTGATAAGAAGTTATAAGGAACGCTGATAAATAAAAAAAGGGGATAAGATGTTTCACGCTCGATAACGATGAATGTAATAAGAAATAATAAACACATTCGCCTTTTTATTACAAGAAGCGTTGAGTAACAAAAGGTCTAATTACACAAAAATTACATTTTGTTTTTTAAATTATAATTATAATTCAATCAGATCCAAATAATTACAAACAATAATACCAAAGACTATGCTTTTCTTAATTTTATTTAAACACTTGGTCATATTGCATTAGCAGAATTTCACACGGTAACATGCGTGTTATGCGAGGAAACATTTTGACATAGGATTTTCAAGCTAATTTTCACTATGACTCCGAACAGAAACGTATTTTACTATAAAAATGTTCGACTGATCGTTTCACTAAATAAGAAGTGTTGCTTACCGAACACGATGGACGCCCAAATCGAGATTCTCACTTTGATTCAGGAACTCGAAGGCGTTCGGGCTGTAGATTGGCATTTCTGCGGAATTCGAGCGTACTGGTTCGAGTACTTCGTTTATTATGTGTAAAACCTGAAACATGTTAATACGATACATTCGTAAATTAAGATATCGAAACAGAAGAATACTCTAATTTATCTTACGTTATTGACTACGAATATACATGTAATATTGGTTTGCAATTACTATGAATAAAACTTATTATGTTCCATCTGCAAATATGTTGCAGCACTGAAATTATACGTGTCATAACACTGGTGAATTGCAAATTCAAAGAAGTAAAGGAAGTAACTTCCGATATTGCAATATTCTGGGATCGTACCGACGAAGTATATCCACGTTCAAAAGCCCATTCCATTGGTGTCTATGAGAGGATCAGCCGTATAGTTTCAAATGACTCGATATACAGTTTATATTGATCGAAATCTTCAATCTACTGTGCAATACGTATGAATTTCTACTGCATTTTCTCTGGCGATTCAGCAATTGATATGCGAATTTTTCTATGGGGCCTTTGAAATCTCGTATCATTTATTCGGATTACGTTCCACGGAAAAATCTCCTTGTCAATTCGTCCAATAGGCAATTTTACTCTCGCCTGGATAATTTGTTTGATAAATGGATTGTCACGAGCTACTTCCGAGCTCTAGTTCAATTAAAAACGCCTTTATCGTTTATCTCGCTAAAGCAAACGGTTTAGCATTTCCACATGTTTGTTCGAACATAATGCAGCTTCAAAATAGAATTTATATGAAATCTACTGAAACAGATAAATACAGGGGGGCGTGGTCTACAAAACCACAGGTAATTTTCATAGAAATTTTGTATCTTTTCCATGAATATTGAAAGAGATACATATCATAGTGTCTGCAATTCGAAGCAGAAATTTTCAAAGATATTAGTTTTCTTCCTTCAATAAAAGAGTAGCTCTTACAACAATTCTTTTCTTTACAATTATGTACTATTTGACATTATTTAAACGCACTAGAGTTATTTGTGCGACTCACTGAAATCGACTGAAGTGATTTACTTTAAATTGATTCTCTTTTAAAAATTATCGATAAAAAATGTATTCATTATTATCTATCGTTGTTGCATCGCGGACGCAACCGTTGACTTTATGACACAGACGATCAGGCCTGTTACTTTTGAGGGCTTCTAATTTCAATTCTTTTGTGTTTACTTTTCCGTTCGAAGCGATATCGAGGACCAGAGAGTGTTTACAGACGCAGAAATTCGACGCTTCTGCGTGCCATACGCCTTCCTGGCGCCCGTACATTTCCTTCAATAGCAATTGACGTGTCGTAAAGCCACACACACACACACCCACACAAATCAGTCCCGTTTGGACTGATCTTCCGCAGGGTCTCATACCCTCACCCCGTCATCTGGGGAAAACCAGGGTGGACTGCGCAACCCCTACTCCCGGAGGACAGCCGAGGACGAGGAAGGACTCCTATTCGTCCGCGTAGGCCACCCCCTCGACACAGTTTTCAGATAAAACTGTACGAAAGGCCCAATGCGCCTGCTATGTCAAAAAAGTTTCCAAAATATCAGCACCACAGTTCACGTCACACCGTAGTTCATACTTACACACTCATACTCAAACACTGAAACACTCGCACAATATTAATTTGGCATGTGAGAGACGCGATACCCTGAAACAATCGTTAAAGGAAAAAAATTCCATCCTTTGAATTCATAATTTTGAAATTAATAAATTAGGCTTTTTAAGGCCGCGATTGCAGCAACATCAAACCCGTACGAATCATTCCCAATTTTGGCCTGCTGCAAAAAAAGGTTTTAACGAGATTTAACTGATGTAAACCAATAATCCCATTTTCATTCGGAAATCTACTACACCGAATCGAAATAATACACGGTGTTAAACTCACACTTCCACCACCGTTCACTTCAATCAATTTCTGGAAAGCAAAGGAGAGCATCTCTATGAAATGACACGTCGCAATATGAATTTTTCCAGTCGTTTAACGCAATCACGCTGGATCTCTGTTAATGATTCGAAGCGACACGTGAAGGGAAGGAAGCAAAAAAGAACAGATAGAAGAAGGGTGTTGTCGTTGGGACGCTTGTTCGGATCGACAAGTTCAACGAGTTTCGAAGTAAATTGCCAGCAGAGATCCTCCAGCTTCCTTGTAAACGTGAAAGTGTACAGTTAATCTCGCGAAGCCGCGAAAAGCAGAGCGATACAAGCATGGCGATGGTGTTCGAGGGAAAGATATAGTAAGACAAACGACATCGCGGGCCGACCGAAGAAAACGGAGACACAAAACGACGGAAGAAGAAGATAAAGTGGGAACAGGCGGAAAAACGGACCTGAAGGAAGTGATGGGATACGGGGGGGTATTTATTCTGCTGCGAGGAACGCAACTATTTCATGGATGTCGAGTGGGATACTGTTGGAATAGCGAAAGGATGCGGCTTCCTCTTCAACCTAACCTCATTGGAAAAGGTGCACCCCCATTTACTACCAAGGAGTTCGCGACTCGAACGTTCTAGCCGCTATTTATCCGCTTTTCTTCGGGATCACCGTGATTCTTTTATCTCGCCGAGTATTATTCTTCTGCTCGATAACGCCGTTTTGTTCTCCGCGCGTGGTCGACGTCGCACGCGACGATAGAACATGCTTTCGGGACCAACGGAATTGAGAATGGTAGACTGCAAATGGCTTTGATGTCTGTGAAGCAAATCATTTTAGATGTAGAATAAAGTAATAAAGAAAGTCTTTTGAGCTGTGTATTGCAATGGAAATCGAGGAAGTGGATTCTGTAAATTCTGTCACGCATGCGGAAGAAACGTTATTTTTTAGTTGTTCTGGATACTCTGCTATGAAATTTATGTTCTCTTAGGATGTCTCAGTTGATTACGATATAATCAAAGTTAGGATAAATATTAGAATATTAGCGCGTGTGATTATTTAAGTAAATTTTAAGAGCTTTATGCTATATTTCTGTAACGTAAAAAAAAAAAAAAATAATTTTTACGATAGCAGTAATTAGAGAGAAGAAACTAACATACAAACATAATAGGTTTTTTCAAGAAATTTTAAGTCATCAGTTATGATATAAAACACATTATGAGAAACAAAGCAGTACCTATTAATTAAAGGATGGTTTAGGACTACAAATGAGCAATTTATTCAGCTATTTTACAATACAAATTATGTTATTTCATTTTCATTAATAATCTTCGTGCACGCATTTCTGGCAATTTTTGGGTAAGTTTTTCTAAAGAATTACACGGTAGTGTATTCCAAGCTTCTTCTAAGTATATCATTTCATTTAAGAGGATTCATTAGACTAGCTTTACCGGTTCAAAAATTCGATTTTTGTTGCTTTCATATATTGATACTTCATTATCTTAAAAATAAGCTATGATTGAAATCGAAATTTTAACTGGAAATTATCCTAACTCGTTAAAATTTTAAATGTGTTTTCCTCGAAACCACGTTCGCCGAAACGGTGTAACTTGAGTAAACCTCAATTGATTTTTATGTAATTTTGCATACATATTCTTAAAAAGTCTAATACATTCTATATCGTCCGACGTA